CACACACACACACACACACACACACAATGCCTGGAATATACAATATACACAATATTCAACTTTTCACAATCGCAGCAGCCTTCCTGGTATTAAAACTTTGTTCCTTAAGTCAAAATTTTATAAACCATGCAGGTTCGTGTCACTTCTCCTATCGTCTTTCTTGGAGGGGGCTGAACTTGTGCCACCTGTGTGTCTTGTGAAGGAGATTCTTAGTATCGTCCGTGTTTGTTCGTGGCTTGCTGGACGGAGTTATTTTTGTCTTTGTAATTGTTAATGTGATGGACCAGAATGAAACAAATAAAAAAAATAAAGGTTTGTAAGAGTTCTGCAATTATTTTATTGCTTTTCGTAAATTATTAAATTCAATCTTAATCTTGTTAACAAGAGAGTGTATCAGATTCTCGAGTTTCATTATCCTACTGCAATTAATAACAAATGGAAACCTCAGTATTATTACTTCGTGTACATGGTATATAACACATTAATGTAACTGAAAAGCTGTGTTCTGTGCAGCTTTCAGGTATAAGTTTTAAGCAAAGTTATGAAGCTGAATACAAGTATCTGATGGAAACAGAATTTTCTTTCAAGTTTACCCACAGTCACCTTTCCTAAACACAAGTATTCTATATATGTTACAGTTCAAATATCCATTGCATTTCAGTAAGGGGGTGTTGAATTGATGTAAATGAAATTTTCTTATTTTACAGGCACTGGTGAGAAACTTTCTCCCGATAAATAATGTTGCAACCCGATATCTTGTACTGCAGAGGTTCTTACTCCGTTGTGTGTTTTCTGTTTTCGATCTGAGTTTAATATCATTTAATTCATTCCCCTCCAGATGGTTTTGAGCGAAGTTTGAAAACAGAAAACACACAACGGAGTAAGAACCTCTGCAGTACAAGATATCAGGTTGCAACATTATTTATCGGGAGAAAGTTTCTCACCAGTGCCTGTAAAATAAGAACATTTCATTTACATCAATTATTAATTCTAGCTATATGTGTGAGTCAGTGATTTTTTGGGAGGGAGCAGTAAAAAAAATTCTGGTGGTATAATAGCATGCTTTCTTACCGACGGGTCAGGTGGTATGATACCTTCTTACCGACCGAGCCCTCGGCACTGGCTGCAGTTTTTTTATAATGTAATTGTAGCTGGCCAATGCGGCAGCAGTGATGCTTCATGACGTCACGCTGGCTGTGTTGCCCGCCAATAGCATTGAGTTGCAACCCCCTACTGACCGTTACCTATATTAACGTTGGCAACACTGTCGTTGTATTCCCATTTTCACGTAGAAGTTGATCAAATCAATTAATTTGTATCGTATTGTTAATATTTCAGAGATCGGGCCATCTGGCTTCTTTGGAATAAGAATTGATTTTGAAAAGTTGGATAAAGTATGGACATTTTTGATGCTAGGAAGAAAATTAGACGCCTTTTGTGACATCAGCGTCCTACTTGAGGAACTAGCAATTTGGCAACATTTTGAAATTTCAAAAAGAAAAAAAAACTATTGGATACGAAAAATTGACTGTAAGTGGAAGAACTATATTGTATACGGAAAATAGACTGTAAGAATATGAACTGTAACGTGTAAGAATTATAAGTACTTCATATTGTACAAATATCATGCTGTTCAACATCTGGATATCTGTAAACATAATATCAACCAATCAATCAATTTATTTGTTTCAAGAATCCACATTTGGTGATACAACCCTGGGATATAGAAGTCAACAGGGACATATTAATATAACATACGTATTGTACATGAGGCAATTATACTATAAAACTTAACTACCCACAGATTTCATACACATCAGTCATACATCATCCCACTGGCAACAATTCAATAACCAAAAGAAACCCTGTATCCAAAATTTATATACAGTAAAACTTGGTTATAGCAACATCGGTTTCTGTGACACCCTGTCTATTGCATCAAATATTCAATGGTACCAACTAATTCCTCATAAAGCAACTGTTTTTATACCTTGCTTAGTACGACATGCACAAATGCATCAACCTCGTATGTAACGTCATTTTCATTCCTGAATTTCTCTGATATCATGGGAAAGTTCGATGTGTCTGCCCAGCCTGATAACTGTACTCTGTACAGATAACTGATTACTGTACTCGTATCTAGGTACAGTAAGGCACAACAATTGATGTAATCTACTGTAATTTGGTGAGTAGGCCTACCTTTAATATACAGAATTAGTGCAGTGTGTATTGTCAGTGAAAAGCGCTGTAATATGTCTTTGATATTACACATTTGGGNTTCATCTTGTATTTAAAATACATGTCACATACATGTCTAATACTTCTGAGAACTAGAACTAGTCCTATTACAGCTCCATTCACAAGAGAACAACTAAACATTAGAATTCAATAAACATGCATAATTCATCAACCACATGGTATAAAACATATCACATTTACATACACATTATATTGTAACGTGTTCTGAAAACAAAACCAGTCCTCCTGCAGTCACATTCATAAAAGAATAATAATAAAACAAATCAACACCTTGCAACATGAGCAAATTATCATCACCTTAATAAACTCATATTTTGGAAGGGGACTAGTCTTAGTTACAAATTGCATAAATTGAGTCTTGTCAATGTTTAATGACAATAAATTAATAGTGAGCCATCTATTTATATCTTGGCAAAGTTTATTAACAGTATTTTCAAATTTTATCTGATTAGGACTATTAACAATTATACTGGTATGAATTGCAGATAAAACAACTTCAGCACTGTCCTTTATTGATTTTGGTAGGTCACTGATATAGAGTAGAAAAAGCAATGGTCCAAGTACTGATCCCTGTGGGACCCCATGCTTTATGAATCCCAAGTTTAAGCTGGAATCATGAGAGTTGTCTAAAATCACTCTTTGGTATTTGCCCTGTAGGTAAGATAACTAGTTAAGTGATGATCCTCCTATTGCATAAAACTCCAGTTTTGCTAATAGAGAGTCGTGATTACCACAGTCAAAGACTTTATGAAAATCACAAAAAATACCTACAACCATCATTCTATTGTTCAATGTCTTCAATATTTCATCGGTCAATCTACAGGAGGCCTTTATCTGTTGATGCACCAGGTCTGAAGCCAAACAGTTCAGTTGCTAAAATATTATTAGCTTCGATATGTTGCAGAAGTCTACCATATATTATTTTTTCAAATACTTCTGTGGAGATTCCACCATAACGATGTGAATTCTTTAATCTTAGCATTCTGATAATTCTTTCAACTTTTTAGTGTATGTGTTTTTAAATTTTATTTTAGAGAAGGAATTCTGAAATGAGTTAGACATGTAGTATTTTGGGTCTTCATTATTATTAGAACCTTCTGTGTTGTTATTTTTAATGTCCTGAATAATTTCCCAGCTTCTGACAGGAAATATTTGTTAAAAGCTACAGGAGAATTTTGATATTTACTAAACGTATGTCCCTTTACTCTATTTGTTTCTGCTTTTATAATATTCCAGGTTGTTTTCATTTTGTTAGCAGTGTTAACAACCTGATTATTATACACTGATCTTTTAGCTTCTTTAATCACCCTTGCTCATATTTTACAGTATTGCTTGTAATACCATTTGAAATTTATATCATTACTATGTAGGTCGTACAGAAAGTCATGAGCAACTTTTTTTTGCATGCAACCTGGGAACAGCAGACGAAAGAGAGTATAGTGATAGTGCAACCAGCTGTTTGTGTTAACCTTGAGTGTCTTATGATGCCAATAGCTTGCATCACGTGACCAGTATCACTCCTAACAAAATGGCCGACAATGATATGTCGTTTCGCCAGCATGCTGTCATCGAATTTCTTGTGAAAGAGGAAATCCCTGCTGCAGAAATTCACCAGAGACTTCAGCATGCTTATGGAAGTGTGTCCATGGGTGCAAGCAGTGTTCGAAGATGGGTGAAACATTTTAAAGATGGGAACACCAGCATCGAAGATGAGCCTCGGAGCGGTCGTCCTCAAACAGCCTCAACTGGACACAACAAGGAAAGAGTGGATGAGATAATTCAAGATGACAGGCGTGTGCCTATGAACACAATAGCCCGAAAACTTGGAATAGGGCACAGTGCAGTACAGGAGATGATTGAAAGCTTGTGCTATAGGAAAGTTTGTGCCCAATGGGTCCCGCGGTTATTGACCGAAGACAACGAAGGTCAGCAAAAAGCCCATCACCTCAGAACTGCTGCAGAGATATCGACACGAAGGCGTTGATTTTTGCTCTGTATTGTGACAGGTGACGAAAGCTGGTTTGACCATTTCGAGCCTGGAATGAAACGGCAGTGTATGGAATGGCACCATTTGCATTCTCCATCAAAAAAGAAGGAAAAGACAGTGCCATCAGCTGCAAAGGTGATGGGCACAGTCTTCTGGCCGAATTCCTGGAACCTGGGCAAACCATCAATGCTTGTCGTTATGTCCGGACACTGCTCCAGCTCCGTTGTTCATTGCACAATAACCGTCCGGGACGAAAAATCATCCTGCAGGACAACGCTCGCCCCCACGCCACTCGCCTCACATTGGAAGCAATTGCAAAGATGGTGTGGCAAGTTCTTTCACACCCTCTGACTACCATCTTTTCGGATTTGTGAAGGACTGGCTGCGTGGACGTTTTGAGACAAGGGAGGCAATTCAGAAAACAGTGCATCAGTATAGACTTGAAAGGATTCTTGAAAGCCAAAAGAAGTACAGTGCATCAGTATCTTCGGATGGCTGGAACAGAATTTTACACGAGGGAAATTTTCAAACTCCCAGAACGTTGGGAGAAATGTGTACAAAGAAGTGGCAATTATGTGGAAAAATAAAGAAAGGTATGTAGATTGAGGTCGTGTATTTGGTTTGTCAATAATAAAGCATGTTACTTTACAAAAAATTGTTGACATGGCCAGGGCATGTAGTACAAATGGGAGAGAAGAGAATTAATATAGGATATTGGTATGAAAGCCACAACCTTGCATGTAATTGGTACTGGTTCTGTTAACTATTGATATTTTAGTTTTACCATGAAGCGGTCCGAGTTACATTCGACACCTCTATAGGATCGCACATCGATAAGGTTCCTTGCTTATCTTGCATCTATCATAACATGGTCAATTTAATTTCTTGTCCAACCATTGAGAGATATCCATTTTTTTCTTACGGAAAAGTCTTTTAAGTACTACTTTTAAGCAAGTTTCCGGTGACTGGAAATCGGCCGTCATTACTCTATTGTTATTAAACTTATCGTGAAGGTTATGGTGTCCCACGTGTTGTACGTACTACAGGATCTCTTCCTATCTTCGCCTTTGCACCACCCATAATAATTTGGATGCCATGTCTTACTGATGTTGCCCTTCATATGGAGATGGCATAAGCACTCATCTACAAACTATTATTGGGTTTTTAGACTTTGTCCATCTTCCAGTATTCTAGTAACTAGAACACACCTTCATTCCACCAATTTCTCCATCATGATAATCACCTGGGGCAGGTACAGTAGGCCACTCAGTGCCCGCAGTGCTGAGGAGACCCAATTAGGACTCCATCCCCACACTTACTTACTTACTTACTCATGGAGCTGAGCCCTTCTGGAGAAGCTGCCAATTCTGCAGCTACTCAAGAATTTCCCAGAATTTTATGGAACCCGAACGTTCATTACCATGTTTACAAGAGCCCTCCACTGGTCCCTATCCTGAGCCAGATCAACCCATCCTATCACTCTAAGATTCATTCTAATATTGTCCACCCACCTAAGCCTTGGTCTTCCCTGTGGTCTCTTTCCTTCTGGTTTTCCCACCAATATCCTATACGAATTCCTTGTCTCCCCCACTTCTGCTACATGACATGCCAACCTCATCCTCCTTGACTTGATCACTCTAATTATACTTGGAGAAGAGTACAAATTATGAAGCTCCTAATTATGCAGTCTTCACTAACCTCTTGTCACTTCATCCCTCTTTGGTCCTAATATTCTCAACACCCTGTTTTCAAACACCCTCAGTCTATGTTCCTCCCTTAATGTCAGAGACAAAGTTTCACACCCATACAGAACTACAGGCAAAATTACAGTTTTGTATAATATAATTTTTACGTTTTTGGACAACAGACGAGAAGACAAAAGATTCTGGACTGAATGGTAGCAAGCATTACCCGAGTTCAATCGCCTCTTAATTTCCTCCTGAATCAGGTTTTGATCTGTTATCGTTCTTCCCACACTAAGTGAATTAAAAAATTAATTAATTAGAAACATAACTTTTCGGAAACTAGACGTGTTTCCGTCCTCGGGTGGGGGGAGGACTCCTCTGTTTGGACCGTTATATAATTTCTTTTCATATATTGTTTCAGATCAAAATGTCAAACGAGACAGATCTCTTAAATCTGCTGATCGCACTTGCTCACAGTAAGTAACATACATACTGTAACTCGTGATTACAAATGATTATAATAGTCCCTGGTTTTATGAAAACCATCAGGTATTTGAATAGACTATTGAAGTAGAAAATATTAAACTACTTGTAGAATAGTTAACCAGAATCGAAGATGAAGCCATTCAATCGCATTATAAGAGAGGCCTTTTAACTTCATTGGTGGAATTAGCAAAATCTTGTCTGGTACTATGGATAGTGAACACACAACATACTACACAGACAAAATTTTGGATATGGAAATGGAACAGGCTGATTTCTTAACTTTCCAAAGAACAGGTAACAGTCGTAAAATCGACATTAAGATGTATAAGACATTACAAGACGTATCTGAAAACAAGAATGTACGATCGTAAGGGTTGGCGAATAATGAACACGGTGATAAGGTAAAGGAAACATATACATCCTCACCAATGCTGCTTGTTGTAAATGAGCATTCGGCGCAACTAGACAGAGCTTCGGGCATACTCTAGTCACATGTTATTGCACAAGCTCAAGTCATGAATCAGAAAAAATTAAATCAAGCTGACTTCCCCACTGACTTGGCATTTGTCTTCCTCTAACAAATCATTTGATTTCAATGTGTACCATGTTTTGCCCTTACCAATTAAGATAAAAAATACCGAGTTAAAACTTGCATGTATATTGTCAGAAAGTCAGTATTTGTTAATATATATAGCTAAGCAGTATAACTCTAGGTTAAAGGTAGACAAATGTAAGGAATGTAAGCTGACAACAGCCATCGGCTGTGCAAAGAAAATTACCCTGTGCATGTAAAGCATTTAGACAAAGAACATGGAGCCTAACTGCTTCAGTCCATTGGAAGCATACCTAGCAGTTGTACTCAGAATATAACAGGACCGAATCAAACGCTGTGGACCCAGCTGGGTAATAATGAATGGTTAGGTGCTGCTCCACGAGTGCACACACTCGAAGTGTGTTCGGCGCAGGAACAAATTGACATTACGGTGACAAGTCAGGAATTAGGTTGTAAGTGTATATCTGTGTAGCATACTGAGGTCGTTTTATTCTTTCTTTTTTAGGCATCACAAGTGAGATCATGGAAATATTTAAGAAAATTCTTGAGGACTGGGCAAGTTTCAGAAAAGCAGTAAGGAATTCCCGTTCCTTTGCATGACATTATATTTTTATTTAATTGGTGTATTGAAATGTTTTCTAAGAGAGAGAGAGAGAGAGAGATTCACTCAAATTTCCTGAACAGGATTAGATAAATAATAAATCGCCATATATTCTTAGAGGTAAATTTCAGAATCTCAGTCAGTAGGCAAGTTTCAATTGGGATTAAAACTCATGTGACTCCTGTACTGATGTGTTGCAGGGTATCTTTGGCCTAGTGCTGCTGGGAGCAGTGCTAGAAACATTAAGGCGGATATATGTTGTAAGTATCATGACAGTTGACTCGTCACTTACCAAGCATCACTGTCTCTAGGTAATTGGTCAAATTAAAGAAAAATGTAGTTCAGTCTGCAAGGTCAAGTCTCCCTGCGGGGAGATTTCACTTTCTCACCCAGACTCTTTAAATAGTTGCAGTTTACCAACAAAGAAATGGCCGTGATCGCGTAGTCGATATAGCGACTTTATACGGGCTGGATGGCTGTTATGAGTGGTTGCCGCCCCTGAACATAAGGCCATAGCCAACGATGCGACCCACCAGATTCAGGGACGGCAGGGGCTGGGCGACGATAATCAAGGGCGCCAGGGATCGGAACGCGATAATCAGGTACGCCAGGGGACGGACATCGAGAATCAGAGATGCAGGAGGGCGGACCGCGAAAATCAGGGACGCCAGGGGCCGGACCGCGTGAACCAGAGACGAAAGAGGCAGAGACACCAACCTCAAGGCCATAAGCAACGAGGCGGCCCACCAGATTCAGGGACGGCAGGGGCTGAGCCACGATAATCAGGGAAGCCAGGGGGCGGATCGCGAGAATCGTGTACGACAGGGGCCTGACCGCGAGAACCAGGGACGACAGAGGCAGGGACTCCAACCTAAGACAATAGCCAACGAGGCGGCCCACAGATTTAGGGACGGCAGGGGCTGGGCCACGATAATCAAGGGCGATAGGGGCTGGCCAACGATAATCAGGAAAGCCAGGGAACGTACCGCGCTAATCAGAGATGCCAGGGGCCGGACTGCGAGAATCACCGATGCGAGGGACCGGACGGCGGACCAGGGACGACAGAGGCAGGACACTAACCTAAGGCCATAGTCAACGAGGCGGCCCACCAGATTCTGGGACGGCAGGAGCTGGGCCACGATAATCAAGGGCGCCAGGGACAGGACCGCCATAATCAGGTATGCAAGGGGCCAGACTGCGAGAATCAGGCACGCCAGGGACAGGGCCGCGAGAACCAGAGACGACAGGCAGGGACACCAACCTAAGGCTATAGCCAACGAGGCGGCCCACCAGATTCAGGGACGACAGGAGCAGGACCACGATAATCAGGAAAGTCGGGGACCGGACCGCGCTAATAGGGGACGCCAGAGGTCAGACTGCGAGAATCAGGGACGTCACGGGCCGGACCGCGAGAACCAGGGACGGCAGAGGCAGGGACACTAACTCAAGGCCATAGTCAGCGATGCGGCCAACAGGTTGAGGGACGGCAGGGGCTGGGCCACGATAATCAAGGGCTCTAGGGGCCGGACCGCCATAATCAGGGACGACAGGGACCCGACTGCGAGAATCAGGCACGCCAGGGGCCGGACCGCGAGAACCAGAGACGACACAGGCAGGAAAACCAACCTAAGGCTATTGTCTGTATTTCCTTATATTAACCTGAAATCGACAAAGAATATTCGGAAAAAATTTCATGAAATTGGCTGAGTTCGTTCATAATTTGTTTAAATTGTTCTAATTAACTTATAATTACTGACCATATTAAATTTCATTAAATAATAAAGTAAGGCGGCCCACAAGATTCAGGGACAGGAGCTGGGCCACGATAATCAGGGAAGCCAGGGACCGTACCGCGCTAATAAGGGACGCCAGGGGCCACTGCGAGAATCACGTACGCCAGGGGCCGGACCGCGAGAACCAGAGACACAGGCAGGGACACGAAACTAAGGCCATAGCCAACGAGGCGGCCCACAGATTGAGGTACGCAAGGGGCCAGACCGCGAGAATCAGGCACGCCAGGGGCCGGACCGCGAGAACCAGGAACGCCAGAGGCAGGGACACCAACTTAAGGTCATAGCCAACAACGCGGCCCACCAGATTCAGGGACGTCAGGATCTGGGACACGATAATCAAGGGCACCAGGGACCGGCCAAAGTTAATCAGGAAAGCCAGGGACGGGACCGCACTAATCAGGGACGCCAGGGGCCTGACCGCGAGAACCAGTGATGACAGAGGCAGGGACCCCAAACTAAGGCCTTAGCCAACAAGGCGGCCCACAGATTGAGGGACGGCAGGGGCTGACCCACGATAATCAAGGGCGCCAGGGGCCGGCCCACGATAATCAGGGAAGCCAGGGGCCGGACCGCGATAATCAGGTATGCAACGGGCCAGACCGAGAATCAGTGACGCAGGGGGCCGGACCGCGAGAGCCAGGGACGACAGAGGCAGGGACACCAACCTAAGGCCATAGCCAAAGAGGGGGAACACAGGTTGAGGGACGGCAGGGGCCGGACCGCGCTAATCAGTATTGCAAGGGGCCAGACCCAGAATCAGGGACGCCGGGGGCCGGACCGCGACAACAAGGGACGACAGAGGCAGGGACACCAACTTAAGGCTATAGCCAACGAGGCGGCCCACCAGATTCAGGGACAACAGGAGCTCGGCCACGATAATCAAGGGCGCCAGAGGCCGGCCAACGATAATCAGGAAGCCAGGGACCGGACCGCGCTAATAAGGGACCCCAGAGGTCAGATCGCGAGAATCAGGGATGTCAGGGGCCGGACCGCGAGAACCAGGGACGAGAGAGGCAGGGACACCAACCTAAGGCCATAGCCAAAGAGGGGGAACACAGGTTGAGGGACGCCAGGGGCTGGGCCACGATAATCAAGGGCGCTAGGGGCCCGACTGCGAGAATCAGGCACGCCAGGGGCCGGACCGCGAGAACCAGAGACGACACAGGCAGGGACACCAACCTAATGCTATGGTCTGTATTTCCTTATATTAACGTGAAATCGACAAAGAATATTCGGAAAAAATTTCATGAAATAGGTTGAGTTCGTTCATAATTTGTTCAATTGTTTTAATTAACTTATAAATACTGAACATATTATAAAATTTCATTAAATAATATAATAAGGCGGCCCACCAGATTCAGGGACGACAGGAGCTGGGTCACGATAATCAGGAAAGCCAGGGAACGGACCGCGCTAATAAGGGACGCCAGAGGCCAGACCCTCTGTTTGAGGCAGTATGACCTGAAAATATAAATTAAGTTAGAATGATTAATGGACTTGTACAGGACATTGGAACACACATGTTCAGGTCTCAGCTTGTCATTCTGAAGGTTATTGTGTAGGCGAGCTTCCAAGTTCAAGTGTCAACTTGGAATCCTTTAATTGTTACGAAGCTGAAATGCGTTGACTAACAAGTATTTTATGCTCTGTGCATAGAATGCAGGGGGTGGGCCACGATAATCAAGGGCGCCAGGGGCCGGACCGCGATAATCAGGTACGCAAGGGGCCAGACCGCGAGAACCAGAGACGACACAGGCAGGAACACCAACCTAAGGCCATAGCCAACGAGGCGGTCCACCAGAATCAAAGATAATCAGGAAAGCCAGGGACCGGACCGCGCTAATAATGGACGCAAGGGGTCAGACCGTGAGAATTTGGGACGCCAGGGAACACACTGCGAGAATTACGGACGCCAGGGGCCAGACCGCGAGAACCAGGGACGGTAGACAGGGACACCAACCTAAGGCCATATTCAAAGAGGCGGCCCACCAGATTCAGGGACGGCAGGAGCTGCTGCTCGTTAACCAAGGAAGCCAAGGGCCGGCCCACGATAAACAGGGAATTCAGGGGGGAGACCGCGAGAATAAGGGACGCAACGGGCCGGACCGCGAGAATCACGGACGCCAGGGGCCGGACCGGGAGAATCAGGTACGCAAGGGGCCCGACTGAGAATCATGGACTCCGGGGGGCTGACCGCGACATCAGGGACGCCAGGGGCCAGACCGCGAGAACCAGGGATACCAACCTAAGACCATAACCAACGAGGCGGTACACCAGATTCAGGGACGGCAAGGGCTGACTCACGATAATCAGGAAAGCCAGGGACCGCACCGTGGTAATCAGGGACTCCAGGAGCCGGACCGCGAGAACCAGGGATGACAGAGGCAGGGACACCAACCTAAGGCCATAGTCAACGAGGCGGCCCACNCGGGAACGACAGAGGCAGGGGCACCAACTTAAGGCCATAACCAACGAGGCGGTCCGCCAGATTCAGGATAGACAGGAGCTGGGACACGATAATCAAGGGCGCCAGAGGCCGGCCAACGATAATCAGGAAAGCCAGGGACCGCACCGTGGTAATCAGGGACTCCAGGAGCCGGACCGCGAGAACCAGGGATGACAGAGGCAGGGACACCAACCTAAGGCCATAGTCAACGAGGCGGCCCACCAGATTCTGACACGGCAGGGGCTGGGCCACGATAATCAAGGGCGCTAGAGGCTGGCCAACGATAATCAGGAAAGCCAGGGACCGCACCGTGGTAATCAGGGACTCCAGGAGCCGGACCGCGAGAACCAGGGATGACAGAGGCAGGGACACCAACCTAAGGCCATAGTCAACGAGGCGGCCCACCAGATTCTGACACGGCAGGGGCTGGGCCACGATAATCAAGAGCGCCGGGGGCAGGCCAAAGATAATGTGGAAAGCCAGGGACCGAACCGCGCTAATCTGGGACGCCACGGGCCGGAACGCGACAATCAGGAACGATGGGGTCCGCCCACGAGAACTAGGGACACCAAATTAAGGCTGTAGCCAACGAGGCGGCCCACAGATTGAGGGACGGCGGGCCACGATAATCAACGGCGCCAGGGGCTGCGCCGCGATAATCAGGAAGCCAGGGACCGTACCGCGTTAATCACGGGCGCCAGGGGCCGGACTGCGAGAATCACGGACGCGAGGAGCCGGACGGCGAGAACCAGGGATGACAGAGGCAGGGACACTTAACTCAAGGCCACAGCCAACAAGGCGGCCGACAGGTTGAGGGACGGCAGGGGCTGGGCCACGATAATCAAGGGTGCCATGGGCCGGACCGCGAAAATCAGGTACGCAAGGGGCCAGACCGAGAATCAGGCACGCCAGGGGCCGGACCGCGAGAACCAGAGACGACACAGGCAGGAACACCAACCTACGGCCATAGCCAACGAGGCGGCCCACCAGATTCAGGGACGACAGGAGCTGGGTCACGATAATCAAGGGCGTCAGGGGTCGGCCAAAGATAATCAGGAAAGCCAGGGACCGGACCGCGCTAATAATGGACGCAANATGTCATTAAATAATATAGTAAGGCGGCCCACCAGATTCAGGGACGACAGGAGCTGGGCCACGATAATCACCGGCGCCATAGGCCGGCCAACGATAATCAGGAAAGCCTGGGACCGGACCGCGATAATAAGGGACGCCAGAGGCCAGACCGCGAGAACCAGGGACGACAAAGGCAGGGACACTAACTCAAGGCCACAGCCAACAAGGCGGCCGACAGGTTGAGGGACGGCAGGGGCTGGGCCACGATAATCAAGGGTGCCATGGGCCGGACCGCGAAAATCAGGTACGCAAGGGGCCAGACCGAGAATCAGGCACGCCAGGGGCCGGACCGCGAGAACCAGAGACGACACAGGCAGGAACACCAACCTANGAGGCAGGGACACCAACCTAAGGCGTAGCCAATAGAGGCGGCCCACAGGTTGAGGGGCGGCAGAAGCTGGGCCATGATAATCAAGGGCGCCAGGGGCCGGCCAAAGATAACCAGGAAAGCTAGGGGCCGGACCGCGATAATCAGGTACACAAGGGATCAGACCGAGAACTAGGGACGCCAGGGGTCGGACCGCGAAAACCAGGGACGACATAGGCAGGGACACTAACTCAAGGCCATAGCCAACGAGGCGGCCCACAGGTTGAGGGACGGCAGGGGCCGGACCGCGAGAACCAGGGACGGCAGAGGCAGGGACACCAACCTAAGGCCATAACCAACGAGGCGGCCCACAGGTTGAGGGACGGCAGGGGCCGGACCGCGAGAACCAGGGACGGCAGAGGCAGGGACACCAACCTAAGGCCATAACCAACGAGGCGGCCCACCAGATTCAGGGACGACAGGAGCTGGGACACGATAATCAAGGGCGCCAAAGGCCGGGCAACGATAATGAGGAAAGCCAGGGACCGGACGGCGCTAATAAGGGACGCCACAGGCCAGACCACGAGAATCAGGGACGCCAGTGGTCGGACCTTCGAGAATCAGGGACGACAGAGGCAGGGAGACTAACTCAAGGCCATAGCCAACGAGGCGGCCCACAGGTTGACGGACGGCAGGGGCTGGGCCACGATAATCAACGGCGCTAGGGGCTGGCCAACGATAATCAGGAGAGCCAGGGTCCGTACCGCGCTAATCAGGGACGCCAGGGGCCGGACCGCGAGAACCAGGGACGACAGAGGCAGGGACACCAACCTAAGGCTATTGTCTGTATTTCCTTAAATTAACCTGAAATCGACAAAGAATATTCGGAAAAAAATTTCATGAAATTGGTTGAGTTCGTTCATAATTTGTTCAAACTGTCTTAATTAACTTATAATTACTGAACATATTGTCACGTGTTTACGTTACTGAATACGCCGTAGAGATCGTTAACTGGTTTATTGAACAATCTACAACTAACGGCTATAATTAATGATCACAATATTACGGGTTTCCACACTTTACAAACCCTACAACAAGGTCTCTTAAACGATCTTCACTTGTCTTCACGTACTAATAACGTGGGAGCTATACAAGTCTCCCTGAAATACACACTCCGAGTACAACTGTACTACAGCACTCACTATGTCTTGAAAGCACACAATACGTCTTCCGCTCGCTGACTTCTTAGTTATCGCTCACTCGCAGGCTGCTATGTTTCAACTNGGAAAGCCAGGGACCGCACCGTGGTAATCAGGGACTCCAGGAGCCGGACCGCGAGAACCAGGGATGACAGAGGCAGGGACACCAACCTAAGGCCATATTCAACGAGGCGGCCCACCAGATTCTGACACGGCAGGGGCTGGGCCACGATAATCAAGAGCGCCGGGGGCAGGCCAAAGATAATGTGGAAAGCCAGGGACCGAACCGCGCTAATCTGGGACGCCACGGGCCGGAACGCGACAATCAGGAACGATGGGGTCCGCCCACGAGAACTAGGGACACCAAATTAAGGCTGTAGCCAACGAGGCGGCCCACAGATTGAGGGACGGCGGGCCACGATAATCAACGGCGCCAGGGGCTGCGCCGCGATAATCAGGAAGCCAGGGACCGTACCGCGTTAATCACGGGCGCCAGGGGCCGGACTGCGAGAATCACGGACGCGAGGAGCCGGACGGCGAGAACCAGGGATGACAGAGGCAGGGACACTTAACTCAAGGCCACAGCCAACAAGGCGGCCGACAGGTTGAGGGACGGCAGGGGCTGGGCCACGATAATCAAGGGTGCCATGGGCCGGACCGCGAAAATCAGGTACGCAAGGGGCCAGACCGAGAATCAGGCACGCCAGGGGCCGGACCGCGAGAACCAGAGACGACACAGGCAGGAACACCAACCTACGGCCATAGCCAACGAGGCGGCCCACCAGATTCAGGGACGACAGGAGCTGGGTCACGATAATCAAGGGCGTCAGGGGTCGGCCAAAGATAATCAGGAAAGCCAGGGACCGGACCGCGCTAATAATGGACGCAAGGGGTCAGACCGCGAGAATTAGGGACGCAACGCGCCAGTCCGTGAGAATTGGGAACGCCAGGGAACACACTGCGAGAATTACGGACGCCAGGGGCCAGAGCGCGAGAACCAGGGACGGTAGGCAGAGACCAACCTAAGGCCATAGTCAACGAGGCGGCCCACAGGTTGAGGGACGGCAGGGGCTGGGCCATGGCAATCAAGGGCGGCAGGGGCCACACCGAGAATCAGGGACGCCAGGGACCAGACTGCGAGAATCACGGACAGGGGCCGGACCGCGAGAACCAGGGACAGAAACACCAACCTAAGGCCATATTGAAAGGGGCGGCCCACCAGATTCAGGGACGGCAGGGTCTGGCCCACGATAATAAAGAACGCCAGGGGCAGGCCAAAGATAATCAGGAAAGCCAGGGACCGGACCGCGAGAATCAGGGACGCCAGGGGCCGGACCGCGTGAACCACGGACGACAGGGAGGGACACCAACTTAAGGCCATAGACGAGGCGGCCCACCAGATTATAGGGACGGCAGGGGCTGAGCCACGATAATCAGGAAAGCCAGGCACCGAACCGCAAGTCAGGGACACCAGGGGCCGTACCGGGAGAATCAGGGGCCAGACCGCGAGAACCAGGGACCCCGGGGGCCACACGACGAGAACCAGGAACAAGAGGCAGGGACACCAACCTAAGGTCATAACCAACGAGGCGGCACACCAGATTCAGGGACGCAGGGGCTGGGCCACGATAATCAAGGGCGCCAGGGGCAGGCCAAAGATAATCAGGTACGCCACGTGCCGGACCGCGATAATCAGGTACTCAAGGGGCAAGACCGAGAATTAGGGACGCCGGTGGCCGGACAGCGAGAATCATGGACGCAACGGGCCAGACCGCTACAATCAGGGGCGCCAGGCGCCAGACCGCTAGATTCAGGGACGCCAGGGGCCGGGCCGCGAGAACCAGGGACGCCAGAGGCAGGAACACGAACCTAAGGCCATTGCAACAAGGTGGCACACCAAATTCAGGGATGGCAGGGGCTGGCCCACGATAATCAAGGGCGCCAGGGGCAGGCCAAAGATAATCAGGAAAGCCAGGGACCGGACCGCGCTAATAAGGAACGCCAGGGGTCACACCGCGAGAATCAGGGACACAATGGGCCGGTCCGCGAGAATCACGGACGCCAGGGGCCGTACCGCGAAAACCAGAGACACCAACATAAGGCCATAACCGAGGCGGCACACCAGATTCAGGGACGGAAGGGGCTGGGTCACGATAATCAACGGCTCCACGGGCCAGCCCACGATAATCAAGTTCGAAAGGGGCCAGACCGAGAATAGTGGATAGTGAACACACAACATATTACACAGACAAAATTTCGGATATGGAAATGGAACAGGCTGATTTCTTAACTTTCCAAAGAAACATATACATCCTCACCCATGCTGCTTGCTGTAAGTGAGCATTCGGCACAACTAGACAGAGCTTCGGGCATACTCTAGCCGCATGTTATTGCACAAGCTCAAATCATGAATCAGATAAAATTAAATCAAGCTGACTTCCCCACTGACTTGACACAGAATATAACAGGACTGAATCAAACGCTGTGGACCCAACTGGGTAACAATGAATGGTTAGGTGCTCCTCCACGAGTGCACACACACTCAGAGTGTTGTGTTCGGCACAGGAACAAATTGACATTACGGTGACAAGTGAGGAATTAGATTGTAAGTGTATATCTGTGTAGCATACTGAGGTCGTTTTATTCTTTCTTTTTTAGGGCTCACGGATTGGTTCATGACTGCCGTAACCTACGTTGTTAATAAATGGGCAAGTTTCGGAAAAGCAGTAAAGGAATTCCCGTTCCTTTACATGACATTATATTTTTATTTAATTGGTGTATTGAAATGTTTTCTAAGAGAGAGAGAGAGAGATTCACTCAAATTTCCTGAACAGGATTAGGTAAATAATAAATCACCATATATTCTTAGAGGTAAATTTCAGAATCTCAGTCAGTAGGCGAGTTTCAATTAGGATTAAATCTCATGTGACTCCTGTACTGATGTGTTGCAGGGTGTCTTTGGCCTAATCTTGCTGGGAGCTCTGACAGAAACATTAAAGAAGATTTATGCTGTAAGTATCATGACAGTTGACTCGTCACTTACCAAGCATTACTGTCTCTAGGTAATTGGTCAAATTAAAGAAAAATGTAGTTCAGTCTGCAAGGTCAAGTCTCCCTGCGGGGAGATTTCACTTTCTCACCCAGTCTCTTTAAATAGTTGCAGTTTACCAACAAAGAAAGGGCCATGAGAGCGTAGTCAATATAGCGACTTTATATGGGCTGGATTACCTAGGGGTCGGAGTTAAAATTCTGGTAGGGTCTTTCCTCAACAGCATCCAGACCGGCTGCGGGGCCCACCCAACCTACTATCCAATGGGTACCTGGGGCTCTTACCCCGGGAGTAAAACGGCCGGGGAGTGAAGCTAACCACTCACCTCCAACTAACGCAGAGGTCCAGAAAACCTGGGTCTATACATCCACTCCCCATACGTCTTCATGGCGTAGTGTTTAATTTCTTAAGCACAGGGACAACTTTACCTTTACCTTACGCTCCTAGGAGGAGCCTTTTGTCTAACACATCCTGCAATGTTGAACGTGGAATTTGTAACTGCAAGCTAGCAGCATGAATTGATTTGGACGGACTTCGCTGAAATGTCACTTTAATGCAATTGACATTTTCTTCAGAGGTCCGTGTCTTTCTAGGAGATTTTACTCGGAACAGACTACCTGTAGTCTTCAGTTTTTTGTCCCAGAACTGAATGCTTTTCTCTGTGGGATGTTGATGTCCATATTGTGTCTGAAACAGCGCTGGACAGCTGTGAGAAATTGCAACTCTGGTAGCCACAATAAGAATGGAACTTGTACCTGTGGTGTCGACATTGCTACCGACTGATTCAGAGCTCGCGGAAGGTAATCAGGTGGCGCATGCGCGTAAGCCGCTCGTGAGTTTTTTATTCCGCTGACATAAACCGGATACATGTATGAAAATTAGTTTCCGAGATATACATTTTTATTTTGGATACATTTCATCCGGACTCCCAGGACAAGGACCAGCCCGCCCCAAGGCCACCACCCACACCCAGACAACCATACCCCGAGCAGGACCAGAACCCACGATCCCAGCACTCGAGCAGGTGAAGACGGCCCACACCCTAGACCACGCGACCACCGTGATCGGTAAATGAAGAGCTAGTGCACAGTAATAATTCAGTTAAATTCTTATTTATTTGCATGCCAACCCAACAGCCCAAGGACCAGTTACACAGTGAGCATGAGCAAGAAAGAAAGAAAGAAAATAAACATATACAAGCACAAATCAAAGCAAAGTAATAATAATAAGCTATTAAAAATAAACTTAGCTCTGACATACTAAGAAATATTTATTTACTGTCAAATGTGATACGAGAAATCAAAATTTAAGAAAACGGGAGTAAGTAAACTATGACAAGGCAACATAAAATTAAATTATATTATATATTCTCGCGGTAGCGTAGTTAGTTGAGGCACTATGCTACAAGTCTGAAGGTTGTGGGAAGGTCCCGATGAGGTCATTGGATTTTTTGAATTGACCTAATCCTTCCAACTGCACTATGGGCCTCGGGTTTACTCAGCTTCTAACAGAAATGAGTACCAGGAATTTTCCTTGGGGGTAAAGCGCGGCCGGCGCGTAAGGCTGACAACCTTACCGCCATCTTTGAGCCGATTGTCTAGATAATGTGGGACCCTCATCGTCTCGCAACACTATGGCCTTCATGGCCGGTTATAGGGATAGCTTTACCATTTTACTCTTTTACTCTTTAAATGAGCCCAGAATAGACGTAATTGGTAAGCTTATATTGAACACTGCATACCGCAACGAACTAGTCCGATCCAAAATTCGAATCCCTGATGAGGTCACTGGATCCCTCAACTGACCCAATCCCTCCAGCCGCGCCACGGGCCTGTGGTTTAACCCCGCCTCCAACTGAAACGAGCACCAGGAATCCCTTCGGGCGCAAAGGCGGCTGGCGTGTAATGCTCAAAACCCCCACCGCCATCCATGAGCCGGCCATGCGGAAAATGTGGGAGCCTCAACGCCTTATCACCCTATGAGCCACCACGGTCCGCCACAGGGACAGCTTCAAGCTTTATTTCTATTTATGTCACGTGTCTGTTAATGTTTTGTCAACTTGTCCGGTTAATTAGTGTAATGTGTCAATGTCTCTCCTACATTTAATTACATGAGACACACATAATGACATTCAATTAGCTTTGAGACACCACATTTATGGACGAAATATAAGAATATCTTCAGGTATTGATCTCACTGTGCAGTTCAGCTGGAAGCCAGACACTCGTGCAATTTGTCGTCCCTCCTTTGTAAGCTACATACTTTTAGAGCTGAGAGTTTATAAACGAGTATTGGAGACCTAACGCTCTTATTTGCATGTAGAGAAACATGCAATCACTGCTTCATGCCGGAACTGTGGGCTAAGTGACTGAAAGTTGTCAGTTCCAGATATGAATACTTACTGAACCTTGTAATGGAGATGTTCAAAGATCTCCATTTTAGATGCATTCTATGCACAGAGCATAAAATACTTGTAACTCAACGCGTTTCAGCTTCTTAACAATTAAAGTATTCCAAGTTGACACTTGAACTTGGAAGCTCACCTACAGAATAACCTTCAGAATGACAGGTTTAGAACAGAACATGTGTGTTTCGATGTCCTGTACAAGTCCATTAATCATTCTAACTTAATTTATATTTTCAGCGCATAATGCGTCAAAGAGAGAGAGGTGGTGAAGTGCCGGCCACCCCTGAACCTAGGGCCGTAGCCAATGAGGCCCACCAAAATCAGGGATGCCAGGGAAGGCCCCACGAAAACCAGGAACGCCAGGGGCTGTCCCACGAAAACCCGGCACGCCAGGGGCTGTTCCGCCAAAACCAGAGCAAAGGGCACCAGAGGCCTCCATGGCGTTAGTGAAAGTGAGTAAAGTAAATGTATCCCTTAACAGGCCGTGAAGGCTCATAGGGTTGTGATATGTTGAGATTCCCACATTTTCTAGACAGTTGGCTCATAGATGGCGGTAAGGTTATCAGCCTTAATTCATTCCTGGTACTCATTTCTGTTAGAGGCTGGATCAACCAACTATGCTACCGCGTACCCCCTTGGAAATATTAGGTAAATTAAACAATTCAGTGACCACAACGAGACACGAACCCGCGACTTTCTCGCAGCAGCAGAATGCCCCAACCAACCACGCCACTATCTGACCCTCGGTCATTTGTATGAAGTATGAAATAAGGGCCGGAGAGAGTCGCGTTTGCGTGAATTTCACTCAGCGCTTCCGCTACAGGTGGGGAGGTTCAACTGGCCGGAGGGTGAATTCACATAGTTAGATCCTGACTGTTCGGTAATCACACTCGTGAGCAATCAGAACAGAAAGCTGTGATCCACATACTAAGAACTTTAATTAACCGCAGTAGTCTGTTGCATGCAATTGAACTGTCTTAGGGTTACTTAGATTATCCGGCACCACCGACATGCGAGAAATCGGGTTACTGTTAATGGGGGAACACAGTGTATAATGAGAATAAAAATTTCTTAATTTTTACTTTCTACAAGTTTAATTTCATTTAGCACTCTGAACACTGGAATGTGACTGTGTGAAAAATATGATATGTCTGCAACCCGAAGGGAAGTTTACGGCTTGTCTGCGTGTAATTTTGTTGTTGGCTCATAACTCTCGACATTCAGGCGCAAGGTATCAAATATGGCTTCTAACAATAGACGAAACAGGACAGCCAGCAATGGTCTGTTCAAAACCAAAAGGTCACTACAGCTCAAATAGGCTTCGAAGAGTTCATAAAGCCGCTACAAGGTGATTGCGGTCACATGTCCTAATCAAACTGTTCGCTGGTGTTCTTTTTAAAGAAGAATAACGTACCGGGATTCGAACCCTAGTTTTCTCTTCCATATGGTAAGGTGAGACAGAGTCTTCTTGGCATTTTGGTCATTACTCGACCTATTGTAACAGCCTGGATGATAAATGAGTGCGAAAAATATTGGTGGAATGAGAATTGGCAGGGGAAACCGATAAGTGTGATAAGTATGATGATTGGGAGTGATAAATGGTGACTGTCAACGGAAGGAGCCATTTGATGGCAATTTAAGGGAAACTTCATTCAAGATATCTGATATTTTAAGACGGGACCCTCTGATTTATTTTCATTAGGCTTTTCTCAGGCACACTTCTTTCTCTTCAGACCTCGCACATCCAAGGTAGTATTTACAATGCAATATTACAAAATTCCCCATAACATTTTGAATGCCTGAAGCGATCTGTATGAAACTTTGTATAAGATGACACTTGCGCCCATCTCAATGGCATGTTTCATAAATCCCTCCCATCAGTCTGTGTCTGTATGTGTGTCCCCCTATCGTTCCTAGGCAACGGCTCAGTAAAAACTTTACCCCGGCTATGAATACACAAGCAACAATATAATAATTGTGTGGTGTGTCCTTTTCTGTGCCATCCGTGTCGTATAAAAGGAATGCAGGCAATTAGTTCTTCCCAGAACTTCTTTTTTCTTCCATGAGACAATCAAAAAGTAGCTCCTACCACACACTGTAATGCTGTTCCATCTCCTGGTTCTTATGAATGGGCGGCTTTCTACAGACGTTCTTGCTTGAGCTGGGTTTGTTCGAGGGATTTTATCTTGGAAATAACTTCTTTTAG